GTGTGCATTTTGGCTAAAACTGAAAATTTATATCATGTGAGGTATAACTCATAAAACTTCATTTTTCTGTTTTTATTCTTTCTATAGAGATCTTTGAAAGAGTATTAGTTTTGTAGTTACTAAAATAAAGGTGGTTAATGTCATAAGTAGGCATCATTGCTGAATTTACAGTGTTTTGGAAGAAGGATAAGTTCAAATTCATTCAGATGTTATTTTTGATGCTATAGCACCATAAAACAAAATGAAGCTTTATAAGTAGTTACCTACCAGTGAAACCCAAGGCCTTTACAGTACATGCTACATATGTCTGACCTGACTTCTTTTGACTTAGGTTCTACATATTTTGGATCCAGTTACCTGTACAGAAAGCTCGCCGGACAACCCGTTTTCTGAATCCTCACCAGCCACATTACTCACTACAAAGAAAAATATTGGGCGTTTCCATCCCTATACCAGATATGAAAATATAACTTTCAATTGTTGCAATCATTGTAAGGGAGAACTCATTGCTCTTTAGTGTGTAATGTATTGGAGGCGTACTTAATACCCAAGATTCATTATTTGGGAACTGGGGTTCTTATGCTAGAAATAAAAACAATTCATCTTTATATGATATATATCCACAAAGCTATTTCATGGACTGGATTCCAGATTATTTTTCTTAAGAAATGTCTCAGGGTAAAAAAAAAAAAAAGTGAAGCTATGTAGATATATTTAAAGTACAAAATACTTCCCAGATAGTTCACAGTGTTTGTGCTAAAAAGCTAAAAAGGATTTGGTAACTTTCTTTTAGGCCCTAAATTATTACTTTTTGTTAAATATTTTATATAAACTATAAACAGGTTTCATTTTGGTGCGTAAAACAAAATCAGGCAAATTACAGCCGTCCGTTGGATATGGCCACGTCCATCCCTTTCCTGTGGCCTGTGCTGTGAAGAAGGATGCTTAAAAGAAATCCCATACTAGCTCAGAATTGAGTATGATAGAGGGTTATTTATTTAGGGGTAGACTCAGAGATCACAATCCTCTGCTGGAGTGAAGAACAGCAACCGAATCCCGCAGCCGAAAAGAGGCCGGTTGCGCACTTTACATCAGCATATATAGTATAAGAGTCCATGCCCAAGTGGGCGGGTAACTTAAAGGCCACTGGTGGTGGGAATTCCCACAGCAAAGCTGTGTTCCTATACAGCAGCGCAGTTCAGTGTGGGGCTCTAAAAACCCATTCCTTCAGAGAGCATGTTTGCTAGAGGTACAGGAAGCATTCTCTTTGTGCATATTTGGGTATAAAAGACGCCTTCGCAAATACTGGGGTAAAGGGATGGATCTTACCAAGCAAATATATTAGGAAAATAAAAAGGTCTTTTTGAGCTACAACAAAAGTGTTCCATGCTGTTTGTTTTTTGCAAGGTGCTCCGTCTTCTGCATGGTTGCAGATAGACAACCTACAGGAAACAGATTCCTAATAGTGACTCATAATGGCGTGTGCAGTACAACAGGAGTATCTAGTTTGTTAAAATGATGGAAGATGAGTTTCTAGGGAAATGTAATGCATTAATTTACATATATTATGTAATATATTATTATATAATGTATCATAAGATGCCCTTTTATTGTTCTTTAAATGTTCACAAAAATCTATCATCAAAAAATAAAAAAAAAAGAAATCTTCAAAAGGCAAATCTGGCCAAATCAAAATATACTTTAGTGTCAAAACCTACTGTTTCTGTCTGACTCTTCTGAGCCGTATTTATAGGTTTCAATGGCAATAAACTTCTGTAGTTTCTTCTTGTGGCTAGTCCTTTTTCCTTTCAGAATAATGTACTTTGTCTTCAATCTTCATGTGGCTTTTACTATTTACATCTGGTTTGTTGCCTTTTTCTTTCTGTTTGCACAATATAAACTTCTTAGAAGAAAATGGAAATTTTTATGACATCGGACTTGACTGTGATTTCAATAACACAAAAGCACAAGAAGTGAAAAATAAATTTCACCAGAGCTTAAAACCTTCATACATTGAGGTCCATGGTAGCCCTAAGAACAGGAGAAAAAAGAACAAATTATACATCTGAGAAATGACCAGAAGATACAAAGAGTGCCAATTCAGCAACCAAAAACCCTTCCAGTGAGGAGTGGGCAGAGGCTGGCGATGCCTCAGTCTGTGGAGCACTACCACACAAGCTGAGAACCAGAACCCACGTCCAGATCTCCAGCACTCATATAATACAGATGTGCATGCAGCAGTGCACATCTGTAACCCCGCACACATGGAGTAGAAACAGGTGGGTGGAGCTCACCGAGCAGCCAGTCACTCCAGCTGGACTGATGAGCACCCGGCTGAGAAATCCTGTCTCAGACATGAAGACACCCAGTGCATAAGTCTCTCCTGTTCAGGCATGTGTGCACACTCACATTTATATGTTCTACACATGCTTGCAAAAAAAAGAGCGTATTATTTTATGAAATATATATTTTATATACATACAAATAGCGAATGAGCACTTCAGAAGATTGCCATCATCAGTGGTGAGCCCCGTGTAGTCACTACCTGTTTCATAAAGATGACCATGAACAAGACAGCAACTGCGGGCAACTGAAGAAACCTGGAACTGCTGCGCTGTACCAGGAGGAATGAAAAATGCAGCAGCCATTGAAAACGTGGAAGTTCCTCAACAAAACACCAAACCAACCTACCGTGTGGCCCGGCCCATCATTCTCCGAGGTGGATAGCCGAGAGAACTTAGAGGTTGTCATAGACTCTGGTACCAGTTTTTGTAGCAGCATTTTCATAGTTTATCAAAAGGTAGATATAATCTTAATGTCAGTGAATGGCTAATAAATAAAAGCATTATCTATATGATAAGGAATGCATTCAACCTCTAAAATAAATGCACAGTTGATGCTTGCTACAATTTAGATAAATGCTTCATGAAGTAGGTTAGATGCAAAAGAATAAATACTGGTACCAGCCTCTGAAGAAGGGCAGGAAGGGGTGTTTAAAAAACAAAATTCATAGTTTTTCAATAATGAGTGGGAAAAATTACAAGGTGACAGCTATAGGACTCCTACTTCTCTTTCTGATGGGAAGAAGTGAAAACAAAGAGTCCATAAAGTTGGGAGGGGGATGTGGTGAGGGGGCTTTAGGATGAGTTGGAGGGATTGGATGGGAGACAGATATGATCAAAACACATTGTATATATGATATGTATGGGATTCTCAATAAGTTAAAAGTGCAATAAAATATAAATAGTGGAATGACTTAATTATTTCTCCAAAGATGGTTCACAAATGGCCAACAACCATACATAGCTGGTTATTAGGACCATGCAAATCTGTTCAGTATCTGTCAAATTGTGAAATGGTGTGTCTGCCGTGGGGATCACTGACAAACTCTACAGTGTTCTACACACTGCATCCTGTCTGCAGCACACATCCAAGAGAAAACACAGAGTTAAGTGTGTATACATGTGATAGCACGCATCCAGGAGAAAACCATACTTAACTATGTACACATGTGGTGTTCACAGCTGCACTCCTCACCACACCAAAAGCCAGGAGTGTCCCAAGCAATGAGTGAATGAGCAGAATGCTAATGTTTTCCTCCATAAAAAGGAATTAAATACTGATATATACACTATGTTGTGGGAGAGCTTCCAAAGCACTGTGCCAAGTGGAAGAAGCCACACATACAAGATCATGTTTTTAACTGTGAAATTTCTAGAATAGGCAAATCCATAGACAGAGAACACATAGTATCTGCTCAGGAAGTGTGGAGAAAGAGGCCTTGAAAGTGGCTGGTCACAGGGATGGACTACTAGGAGTGATAGAATCATCTTGGAACTACAAAGAGAGTTTGTCTAATTTATAAATATGCTAAGCGCTGCTTGACTATGGTTTAAAGAATTAGTTTTATATGAAGCTCACCTCATTAAAATTAAAGGAAAAAAGTTGGGGGCCGCCAATATTTTTGTTTGTCTTTCCCAGCTATCATACATGACAATACTTGTGTACTATCAGATATATGGTAGTATCTTTAGCATTTAGAAATGTGTCATCAGCACTACTCAGTTTCGCGCCGAAGTCATATCTCAAGCCTATATTAAGTATTGTGAAGTTTGTACATTAATTCAAAACCAATTATAGTGAAATGTAAGACTGCTTGATGTGCTACAAAAGTTGAAATAGGCATAAGGCATAGTGGTCCACACCTAACACCAGTACTTGAGGCACAGGCGGGAAGACTCTAAGTTCAAGGCCGACCTAAGTTACAAAACCCTATGTTCCCAAAACAAACTAACAATCAAGTAGATACAGGAATAAACCATTCTCTCTGCATCTTCCAATTCTTGTAAAATACACACTAAAAGGTTATGTGAATAAATGCATGTGTGCACACACACGATAGACAAATGGAGGTCATCGGATTGTATTATGTAAAGCATCCACAATGACTTTGAAAACACTATTAGACATGTTTTATGCACAAAGTAGGAAAAGTGTAGAAAAACTATGTTGTTGCCTTTCTTCCTGTGGTACTGACAGGTGATACTTGCTCTACACTCTAAGTCACTAGCACTAAAATCCAACTTTGACAAACAAAACTTTGTGTAAAGTCTGGATAGAAACTTGTCATTCCAACATGTTCTACTGAAAGATTTAAATGTTTATTACATTTACTTAGTTTGTGGTGGGGATGTAGGGCATGTGCTCCACAGTGTATTTGGAGGTCAGAGGACAGCTGGCAGGAGCTAGTTCTCTTTCCACCATGTGGAGGCCAGGGATTGAACTCAGGCCATCGGACTTGGTGACAAGTGACTTTATCGACAGCCATGTTGCTGTCCCTCTATTGCAATATTTTAAATGATCGCAGGAACTAGGAATGAAATGTATGCCTTTCTTCTGGCCTTCTGGGTAGCAATGTTAATACGTTTAGAGGTAGAACACAGAGTCCCTTCATTGTTCAGTTTGCTGAACAGACTACAAGGCAGTACAACACATTCAACACTTGAGAGACGTTTATTTTGTGCTAGTGTGAAGACAATAAAAATTCACCATCAGCATTACCAAAAGACAAATCCCACTCTGTAATTTCGAGTATTGTCAAGACACAGGCTCCATGGGAAATGACATCCAAAACTCTGGTGACAGCAGTTTCCAATAAAGGCTTTCCCAGACAGCTTCAGTTGTAGTGGTCAGTAAAGCGGAAAGACTTGGCTTCGGGCATGTTGTACAGGTTGCTCTGTAGCTGCTTGGAGCGCCGTGCTTCCAGCCGGAGCTGCCTGGCTCTCTCTTTGACAGCCTGTTGCTCGGCTAGTTTTTCTATCTGTTTTCTTCTGAGCCACCTGGAGAAAGAGGCATGGTCAGATTTGGTGACGATCATATTGTAAGCTTCTCATCTATAAACATACAAAATTAACATTTTTTAATAATGAAATGGGGTCAAAAGACAAAATTGCTAAAGTAGTAACTAAACATTTCAGGCTTAGTTCCCAGGCTCATTCAAGAAGGAAGTTTATACTTGGGATCAAATGCCACCACCCAACAACAGTGTCTATTTTCTTGTGAATAAATTTGCAAAGAAATATTTAGAAGACAGGTATTCTGGTGCTACTAATCATGGTTAGATTTCCGGATGATGAAGTGATCATCCTTGTCCTCAATGCACATGTACTTTTCCTTTTCTAATAAAAGGTTTAGAAAGATATAGACAGGAAGAGAAGGAAGAAATGAAGGAGGGAGGAAGGGGGAAGGATGGAGAGAGAAGAGAGGGTGAGGAAGAAGAGAGGGAGGAACTTGGTACAAGTGGAGTCAGCCTTCACTGTGTTTTCCAACCTTCCCAGAGGCTAACGCTCTGAAGTGGGGTCTGTACGCTCAGGACCACAGAGGATACAGATAACAGAAGAGAGACGTGCTGGCTTTTCCACACTGTGAAGGCGCGGTGACCTACTGTTTAAAGGCCCGCTCACGGCCCTCCGTTCCTCTCAGGAAGAACAAACACTCCTCCTGCTTCCTGAGCTCCTCTGTCTTCCTTTCTCTCATCTGCTCCTCGTGCTTTTTCTTAAGCCATAATCGGAAGGCCGCTTGTGGGTCTCGGTTCACCTGCTGAGAAGGAAAAAAACACAAGATTTGTTTAATTTACATGAACTAACACTACCTCTTAAAGCCCTAATGAAGTTCTTTAAGATGGCAGATTCTCAATTCAGTGTCTGCAGAACACCAACTTTAAGGTGCATTCCTAGCACCCAATTCAAATGCACTGTTTTCCTCCACCATCCCTGATCGTGCTCTGAAAGGAAGCAGCCCTAGCCCATCTCTTTTCTTTCATCCTGTCTTAGTTAGGTTTTCATAGGTGGGAAGCGACATCATGGCCATGGCAGCTCTTATGAAGAAAACAGTTAGTTGGGGTGGCTTACAGTTTTGAGGTTCAGTTCAGTATCATCATGGCAGGTACACGGCAGCATGCACACCTGGGGTAGCTGAGAGTCCTATATCTTACAGGCAGCAGGAAGTTGACGGACACACTGGGCAGTAAGTATCCTGAGCATAGGAAACGTCAAAGTCTGCCCCCACAGTGACACATTTCCTCCAAGAAGACCATACCCACTCGAACAAAACCACACCTCTTAATAGTGTCACTCCCTATGTGATTATGGGGGACTAATTACCCACATCCTATTGAGGCAAATGGGGAGTGGAGCTTAGGAGCCTTTGGGTGGCATGCTTAGTGTCCTGAGATCCATCCTCAGCACAGCCACAAATAGTCTTACTGAGAAATCAACTAACGGAGAAAAGTAACGGCTTGGTTTTCAGAGTGAATTTTTTGCCTAATGAAATACTTTTCCCCAAAGATACAATCATCTAATTAAGAATGGAATGGGTTGTAGGCTTTGGAGTAGTTCCTGAACATTCCACGGAGCACAGATTATTAATGTGTAATTCAACACTGTGTTAACCTTTTTCTAAATTGTACATTCTTCAGTTTTAACAGCATCTGTCAGAAGATACTTAACTGCTAGGTACATCTTTAAAACTAATTATTGGAACTGGAGAGATGGCTCAGCAGTTATGAGCACTGCCAAGCTCTTCCAGAGGACCCAGGCTCAGCTCCCAGAAGCCACATGATAACTCACAACAATCTCTCTCTCCAATTGCAGGGTATCCACTGGTCCCTTCTGGCTTTCACCAGCACTGAGCATTTGTGGCACACAGACAAACATGCAGGCAAAATACCCATACCCATAAAGTGAAAATAAATCCTTGAAAAACTAATTATTGCTGAATGTACACACACACACACACACACACACACACAATTTCGCATATCTCTTTTTCATAGTATTTATCACTTAACATTTTATTTTATATTCCAAAATTTTTTAATATTTATTTTTTACTTATGTGTATGTGTCTGTGTGTATATGCATATGTGTGCAGGTGCCTGTGAAACACAGACAGCATTGGATTCCCTAGAGCAGGAGTTCTGGGCACTTGTGAGCCACCTGACCCGAGGGTGAGGAGCCCCACTCTGAGGCACTACAACAGGAGCAGGCACTATCAGGTGCTGAGCCATCGCTCCACCCTCTAGGGATTTTCAAATGTTAAGAACCCCGTCCTCCATGTGCTCTGGAAGGCAGAATATCCCTGCTTTGGTTGGAACTCTATTCCTGTACATGAGACAGCATGTGCCATCCATGCTACAGTGGATACATGGCAACTTTACTTCGCATTTCTTTGATTTTTCATCTGCTATGGTCACCTGTAGGGGAATTTCCTATCTACTCCTTTACTGTTTTCTCAACTGGGACACTGAAAGTTTTGCTCTAACAATATAAAGACTGAAAGTATCACTATTTGTAGTAATTTTGAAACTCCTAATTAGCCTTTTATTAGACTAGAAAAATATTTATAGCAGATATAATGGGTAAAGAATCAAAACCCTTATTATAAAACTCAATGAGAAAAATAAAACTGATTTTGATCCATAATTCCGACTGACCAGCTGCATAAGTGTACATGACCTTTTCTTTCGGCTCAGTGAATTTACTAGAGAAATTCCCAGAACTCAGGGAAGAACTTACCCTTCAGGGTTCACAGTGTTACTAAAGGATATCAGAGCGGCCAGATGTCTCAGTGGGTAATGGAGTCTGTTGCCAAATCTAACTATCTGAGGTCTATGCCAGGCACCCACAAGGTGGAAAGAAAGAACTGGCTCGCAAAAGCTGTATTCTGACTTCTGCAATGTGACAAGCACAGCCACCCCACCCCTGCAGTGCACACAAACCTTTCAAAAGGAATGTGGCTAGGTGGAGCACTAGCACTGGCGAGATGAGGCAGAAAGAAACCAAGTTCTTCACAAGTTAAAAGAAACACTTGGCGCTCTTATTACACAGAAGCTAGCCTGGGCTATATGGCAAGGCTGTTTAAAAAGAAACAGAATAAAACCAAACAACAACAGAAAGAATGTAAGAAGAGGGGCTAATAGGTCAGAGATAGTGCTGCCCTTACAGAAGACCCAGGTTCAGTTAACTGGACCAGTGTGGTAACTCAAAACCACCTATAATGCCAGTTCCAGGGAATTTGATGACCTCTCATGGCCTTCCTGGGTACTAGGCACACATGTGGTACACATATATTCCTGCAGATACCCTCTCTTACACACGCATAAGAATAAAGAAGGCAGAAGAACGGAGTTCCCTGAAAAAGGCAAATGGGAAGGGGCTTGAAGTTCCTCGATCTGCTCCAGGGGACAGCAGCATCCAGTTTAACAAACCAGGGAGTTCTTCAAACCCCTGGGGTCAGGAATCTACTGAAGGCTTCATAGAAGGTTTATGGATTAGCCCAGGTTAGCCTCTCCCTCCCCACTTCCTATCCTTGAGGAGGAACAGGAAGTTCCAAGCCCTGATCATGACTTAGTGTTTCTAGACATCAGCTCTCATCCAGAGCTGTTCCTTTAGAACCAGGCACACATGGCTCAGAAACCCCTCAGGGATGAGGTTCTCCCTGCCAGCAACCATAATCAAAAACCAAATACTACAACAAAACCAAATACTAGAAAAAAAAGACCCACTTAGCATCCCTGCTCTTCCAGGAGCAACACAGGATTTTAGCAGCTCTGGGCAAGAACTAAGGATGAAACCAGTATTCATGTCCTTTTTACTATATCACAAACACAAACCTGTACACACACACACACTAGAATTGATAGTATTAACGTCAAGACAAACTAAGTTAACGTCAAGACAAAGTAGGAAGATAAATCACACATGGTGTTAGCTAAACTGTGGTAAATAAACTGTGGAAAATATATCACTCACTAGCGTAGGAACTAGAAATTGTTTTAAACTTGGGTGGCTGATTACATGTCACAAAAATTAATACTCTGAACATTCAAAAGTTTTAAATTTTACCCTGAAGGAACTTCCTTGCAGTCTTCTTAATGTTCCTCATATAATGTGCAGCTTTACTGAAGCACAGAAATACCGAATATTGAAAATATTGAGACCTATCTAATCCTTCATGAGGAACAAGGAACAAGTTAGTTAAGAATGGAATAGAAGTTAGATAGTTAAAATAAAGGCCTAGAAAGATGTCCATGATGAAGTGACAGCAACCACATAATGAACTTTTAAAAACAAAATAGGTAAAAATTTAAAATAATATATGGTATGATTTCATTCTTATTCATTCATGTGTATGCATGTGTATCTGTGGGTGCCCAAGGCCTGGCATCTGATCCCCTGGAGCAGGAGTTACAGGTGGCTGGGAACCACCCCCTATGGGTGACGGGAATGAACTTGGGTGCTCTGAAAGAGTAGGCGGGGCTCTCAAAAGCTGAGCCAGTCTTGCAGCCCCTGTATTTCAGTTTTTTTTTTAATTAATTTTGTGGAGCTGGAGAGATGACTGACTGGTTAAGAGACTTGGCTGCTTTCCCAGAGGACCTGGGTTCAGCCCCCATGGCAGCGCACAGCTGTTTGTAACTCCAGTTCCAGGGCATACAATGTCCTCTTCTGATGCCCTCAGGTACCGGGCACACACACGGTGCACAAACATACATGTAGGCAAAACACTCAGACACATAAGTAAAACAAATTTAAAAATTGGCATTTTTAACTTTGATTTCTGACAACTCTCAAGCGACACCAGTCTGTAGGTTTGTAAGCAGAGATGTGTGTATATTCATCCACTTTAAATGTTACAATTAAAACGCCTTGAAATGTGAATTAATAATTTCTATTTTCTGGGCTAGGCAAGTTGGAATACAGTTAGAATCATCTGACTTTTGCCAGGCTTTGAGGAAACGACAGAGCCGTCCATGCCCAGGGCACCTTCTGCAGGGCTAGGCTTGGGCTCTGGTTCCTCCTCCTGACTCCCTTCCGTATCTGACGCTGGGTCTCACAGGGGACATCTCTCACCCTGCTGTTCATGTCTTCGATCTGCTTGGCCCGCTGGACTCTCCGCATCTCGATGACCTGCTCTCTTTTCTTCTGGAGCCATGCTTTGAACACCATCTCGTTCTCTTTCTTCTTCTCATTCTCTTCCTCTATTTTGCGTTGTTCTTCCTGGGAGGGGAGATCATGAAAAGGCGTTAGTGGAAAGTTCATGAAGCCATATGTGAGTCGAATAGAGCCATTTGAGTTCTGGAATTAGGATTCCCCACCTCAAAACTTTCCAAATGAAAATTTCTCTCTTTCACACATAGGGTAGCCTCTAATTTCTTTAAGAAGTTCTGTAAGGCACTTAAGCCAGGCAAGAGTACAGTTAGTTACACGGTGTTCCTTACAGGCCATTGAGAATGCTATATATTGTCTGTCAACTCTTAAGTTACTTTTGGTACCAATTAACTAAATTACTTCAATGCAAACAACAGCACATTTTAGAAGCACTGTCAATTGCCTGAGCGTTTTCATTGTTAATTGTGATGAAGGTACTGCAGTTGTGAAATCAAATACTTTGCTCACTCAGTAATGTGTGGGAAATACACGCAGACAACAAAGAATGTGGCCGATGCCTTGACTTAAAAACACTTTAACCAATGTTGGGAATGTAGCTAGTTGATGGAATGCTCCTAGCAACCTTGGTTCTATCCTCAGAGCAGCAAAATACTAAAATTAAAGCATTAACTGAGCTTAAAAAAAAAACAGGAAACAGAGAAAATACGCCAAAATTTGAGTCTTCTGATAAGGATACAAGAGTTATATTGTTTTATAGGTGTTTGAAATTTTTTATTAAAATATTTTATTAAAATGTTTTAGGAACTAGTTTGATGTTCCTAAACTAGTACTTTTGCTGCTATCAGAAGCTCACTTAGAGACTTGGTTAACTATTAAGGAAAAATGAAATTGTGTCTGAATTACTCATCTAACTGTCATAAAAAGAAGCTGTCAAAACCTGAAGGAAGCTACTTACATCCATTCTGTAGATCTGTAAGGTAGTCACGGAGAGGATAAGAACAGAGTATACAGTAGGAACAGCACCAAGCTACAAGTTAGATATGAGCCGGAATCTCTGTGATCGTACAGTGTCAGTGTGGCTGTGGCATTGGACTTCTTCCTTGCTGTTCTCGTCATGTGAGATTTCAGGTGGCATGGGGAAGCATTTCATTAGGGATATCGGGATCTACTCTCCCTTCCCCAGGAGTGGACATGCTAGACAGTGCTCCACCACCGAGCTCCGTCCTCAGCCAAGCTCCACTCTCAATCTAAAACTAAAATCCCTGAAATCAAGGAATTGTAGATACAGGAGATACAGGAAGTGCACACAGATAAAATTATATAAAGTGCACACAGATAAAATTATATGAAGTGCACACAGATAAAATAACGATAATGCAAGTTAGCCTGTTGCCTCTACTTGGTGCCTTCCTTTGGCCATGTAAGATTTGATTCTCACCTATCTCCTATAACCCTTAAAATGACAGTGTCATTTCTGAAATCTTGTCTGGCTCTAATGTAGATGTTCTCCCATCTTTTGTGTTGTTTACGAGAAAGGGTCAAGGTAGTGAAAATGTTACACACACACACACACTTTCAACACTTACGCCAGCAATTTAACAACAGTAAAGTAAATAAGTAAATCCCTGCCTGTGTTACTGATAAAATATAAAAAATACATTCCCCCTTCAACACAAATGCCTACTGGCCTTCCTCCTTACCTCCCTCTTTAGCTTTTCTCTCTTCCTTTCTAGCTGCTTTTGGAGTTCTTTCTGCCGTGGCGACAGACAATACGTTGAGGTCACTGGAGAGACATTGGCAGACTGTATCCTGTGATTAGATCTCCTGCTTCTTTTATTTAGATCTGGGTTGACAGCAGAGCTTGGACGAATCTTGGGGCTGGGTGGTGGCTGAGGGACTTGAGCCAGTGGCTCCTCTGTTGGGGAGACAGCCACAGTGTGAACCTTTGCTGCAGGCTCTTCTTTCTTGACACCACCAACAGACTGGGTGGGAGACCTGAGCGGCAATTGGGGGGTTTCGTTGTCTGTACTGTTAGCACTATTAATGGGAGGCAGAAAGCCCTGACTCTCGATGTCTTGTAAATTCATAAGTTCAAACTTCCCGTCTCTCTCTACCAGTATCTTCCTATCGTTGTCTTCACAGCTCCTGTCAGTTCCTGACAGGAGCACTTTCTCTTGTTCAAGTTCACCAGAAATGCATAGCTGAGACAGTTTTCCAGACATATTGTTTTCGTTTTCTGAGAAAGTTTTACAAGTGTCGCTGTCTTCTAACGGTGGGACTTCTAAATCAACTAACTTGTCCTTGAACTTCAGTTTTCGCTGCCTTTTATCATTCACAGGCTCTTGATTCTGTAGGATCTTGTTCGCCTCTATAATTTTCTCCATAATATATCTCCTTACTTCCTCGTCCTCGTCTTCCTCCAGCTCTCTCTGATTTTCCTGTTTGAAGTCCTGGAAGGAGTTCTCACTGTCTGAGTCTGATATAGGATCCAAGGGCTGAATGCTTGGGACGGAAATGAAGTCATTTCTTCTGAGGGAGGCCTCGTCCTTTAGGGGTTTATCTGGATCAGAGAGCTGTTGGCTGTGTTCTGTTTCTGGTTCATCCTCTTTTAATTCCTGGTCAAGATCGTCTTCCTTCTTGCAAGCCATCTTTAAAAGAGACATGAGACTCTACTTACCAGTACAATTGAGATTCTGGTCATTTATTTGGGGGACAATTGAAATGGATTTTTTTTTCTGTTCATGCAGTTTACTTTATACACAGGGGAATTTAAGCGCTTCTGGCTTACACTTTACTCATAATATTATAAGGCATACTTTTGAGCACCTCAGAGAAATACCGGGAAAACAATGAGTCTTCATTATCATGCTCTAACTCTTCAACCCTCTGCGCCACATCTGGAGCTGCTCCAGCTGCAAGACATTGCTTCCACCTCGCCTCTCAGGAGAGCTCTGCCTCCACTCCTTCTGGACACTTCTAATATGATGCATGAAACTGGCCTCAGAGAAGCCTCACTTTTTCCTTTTCCCCAAATATTCTGCTTCATTTACGACTTTACCACGTAACAAATCAAGATGGCCTTAAATCTATAAAACCCACTGCCTTCATTTCCTCAGACTCTCCCCGTTAATTCCCTCAAATCTGAATAACTATTCTTATTGTTGTCCTTCTAAAGTCACCTCATTTGATATCTAGTCATATTCTTTGTTACATCATCATCTATTGACACTAATTATATATAAATATATATGTGCTGAGTGTGTGTGCACGTGCTCATGCAAGAGCACACTAGCAAAATGAACAGCTGGGGAAGGTTCACGTTTCCTGACTTTCCCTTCCATATATCGGAACAATAGCACAGCATCCTGGGTAATATACTTCTACAAGTGTGTGTGTGTGTGTGTGTGTGTGTGTGTGTCTCAGATCAATCCTTTATTTTTTCCTCTATCTTCATTACTCCCAAGCACTAATTCTGTCTTAAAGTTTCAGTTATTAGCTGGAAGATTATATTTTTAAAGGATTTATTTATATTAAAAGTATAAACACATGATTTTTTTCAGGCTTTCACCTTTGATGTATAAAATCATGTTAATTATCAATTTAGATTAAAATTTCATTATCACTTGAGCTTTGTTAAATGCATTTTAATTCTCATGCACCCAAGCTTTAAGGCACAGAATTTAAATCCTCTGATGTCTCCACTTCTTATCTCCAAGACGGGGATAATGGTATTTAGTCAATACACATCAAGAAAACATTGCGAAGTTTAACTGTGATACCATTAAGGGCAAACCTTCCAGGTGGCGAAGCACTTGCCAAATGTGACTGTTGCGAGCACTATTGGCGGTTTTCACATACCTCTATTACGCCGCCATTACTTTTTTCTTTATCATTGATCAACCACTCCAGGTCCTTTTCAAAGTCATCCTCATATTCCCCACTTTCTTTTGAATCTATCGCTTTCCTTTCATCCATTTCTCCGCTTGTCAATGAACAATGCTGGAAGATTTAAAGATAAAGGTGCGTGTTTAGCCAGTTGAGAGGTGGCATGGGGACAGAGATCAGTGTCGCAGGTAAGCTAACTACCACATAGAAACGTGTAACAGGAAGTGTTCGGGGTAAATGTGTTTGTACACACCCCTCAATGGCAACGCATTTCCATGGCAGACATTTCTAACAATGCTTTCACCTACCTCCTCCAGTTCTCCCACCCCCAATCTATGAGATTTCTGCGGTAGATAAGAAGATGGAGGCTTAGGAAGGGATTTTCCCCATCCCCTGCCAATCAGCAAAACTGCAGCAGCGAATGATGCAGTTTGGGCTTTGTGTTGAGGTTTAGTTCTTAGCTATTTGATAAAAAAAGGAGTTACCTAACTGGATAATAATCATTTCTAAAATATTAATTGTACTCTTTCCATATATTTAATTTTCACATTCCTTTAAGCTAAAAATATAAAACAGGCTTTCTTGACAAACTCAAAGATAAGGCTTCAATAACTTCTCAATGGGAAGTTGAGGGCAATAATATTTTGAGGTGACTTGGATAAGCCGACATCCACCGTCAAGACAGGTTAAATTACTTAACAATCTACCTCTGAGCTATTAAACAAAGACTTTTATGCATCATGACTTAGAAAAAATATTACCTATATGAAATCTAAAATGCTAAATTCAAAACCAGAATCAATATAACAAATAAAAATATATCAGACATATTAGGAGCTATTAAAGTCATACAAATGTAAGTTAAAAGAAAAAGGCATAGGGAACGTGAATGAGAATTAGATGAAGTTGCATCAAATCTGAAATGTAGATGAATTTCTCTAACTCCAAAAGAAACATCGCCACCTGCTCTTGTGTCAACAAACAACATAAGCAGGAGGTCTTGTTGCCAAGTCCCTTATGCCTTTCAGATGAGTCACGGGATATTCCCACCTCCGGTTCTTTAATCACCATCACCAGGACATGGTCCATATGACACACACGGTACATACTGGAATACAATGATACCTTCCGTAGCATTGTATGACTTAGCATTTCCTACTTTATTACTGTGAATTTCGCACATTTAAAGCTTATCATCAATAAAAATCTACAAAAGCAGTTCAGGCCAGATCCACCCTCAGTAGTGAACTACAGTAGAAATGAATTCTTTGCTCTTAAGTCTGTGAAAATCCATGAGTGGGTAGGTGTCTAAAGACCTTAGTGTGTGTGTGTGTGTGTGTGTGTGTGTGTGTATACACGTTATGCTGACAACTTTATTCCCAGATTAAAAATATTGAAAAAGGCATTAATCTGATACTTCAGGCTCAGTCTTGTCCTATATAACCTTTTAAGCAATCCTTGTTGAATCACCAGGAACCCAGAAAACAGTAACGAGAAAGCTTTTTCACATAAAATAAGCATTTAGCAAAAATATTTTTAAAAGCAGTTAAGCAAAACCTCACAATATTATGAAACCATCAGGTCCATCCTACCTGATGCATTCTGATTAAGACTGCGGTAGTATGAAATATTTTTTTTAAATTGCAATCTGTTACAAGTTCTGACACTAATATTTAATAAAATTAGGCAATGATTTGAATTCGTATTGAACATCCTAAATCGGCACCAACTAAATGGATAGCATTCCGTGTGTAGAAGCTAACATTCAGGAGTGATATATTTTTTTTTCCATGCAAGCCACCTTTCACATTTAAGAACTTTGAGAAGGGGTATAATGTGACAAAAATGCAGAGCTGGCGTCTAAGCCACTCTCTGAGGGGTTCCCCTTGCGCATGGCTGCAGCGATGCTGTGCCAGGCTGGGGAGATCCTGGGGCTTATCCTGGAAAGACAGCTCATCCCGAGAGCTTCACCTACCTCACCTCCCCGCTAACCCAGACGTTTATCCTCTTCCTAGTCCTCCCACCAGAATCTGCGTCCTCCTTCCCTTCTCTCCCTCCAAGCGCCCTCCTGCCTGTAGAAGATGCAGCGGCTGGGGGCACAGAGATAGCCGCGGGAGCTTACTTCTCCTTTTCTAAGCTCTGGTGAGGCAAGGGTGACACCCCCGGGCTGGCTCCTGATGCAACCAGCACCCGGCTGCCATGGCAACGGCGCGTCTCTTCGGTCTTCATCCGGGCACCCCACTCCTGAGGCTCCGTAGGCTCGTGCGCAGCCGCAGAGCGCACCCCGCGAACACCCGCACCTCACGTCACGCCAGGGTTTCCCAGACCAGGAATCCACACATCGTTGCGGATTTCACGCCGCACGAGGGCCTGGCGAAGGACTACTGCCTCGGGCGTGGATTTTGTATAACTCGACAGATTTTGAATTTGTTGCCAAGATTTATAAAAGTGCATTTCGGTTTTCATTTCCTCAAGTTAGTAATTTTAAAAAATAGAAAATTGTTACTTGCTGTTTCGATCCTCAGTTTTTTCAAAAAAAAAAAACAATCAAAATTTTACTTACAGGAAGGAGTTATGAAAGAAAATAGAACTTTTAGTTTAGCATTCAAGCTTACCATGACAACCAGCTACAGTTTCCCCATAACTTCCCTAAATATCTGTACGGATAAAAGGAAAATAAGGTAACATTCAGGTTGTGGTGACAGGTAACAGGGCAGATAACCAATCCAGCCAGGAAGGAGCTCACGAAATAGGATACAAACAGAAAGGCGAGCAATGTGGCACAGATGAGAATTCATCTTAAAAAGGGTGGATTGAGAGGAGATTAAAACAGAAGTGTTTACTCCAGAGCTTACTTTTGACAAATAAAACGGAGTCTGGGAGACGAACGGCCGCCATGCCCCTAGAGATGGCTGCCGGTGAGAAGACAGCTGGCGTGCTGCATAAAACGAAACCCTTTGGCTCATCACCCGCCACTGAGGCCCATCGCGGCCCTCGGCGATTGCAAACATAATGTGGAAATTAATAATGCGGCCTAGGGATAAAATTGTCGCTGCTCATTTCCTTGGAAAAGTTAATAACCGCATCCGTTCCTACGGAACTGTGTGCTCCCTCTCAAGTCGAGACAGGGTTTTAAGCATGCACAATCCCTTACCCATATAGTCTCTAAAATGTCTGATGAATATTTATTCTATGAACTAATTGTAAGGTTTACAAGCTAATTTTATTGTGGTCAACTTAGTTATAAGTGTAACTGATTTCATAATTTCCTTCTAATGCTGTCTGCTAAGAATGAAGTTTACAGAAGGAAGGACTCTGATGATTAGAGATGAGAGAGGAACATATTTAGAAAATAGGACATTTTAAAAATCAACACTCCGATAAATAGAATAATGAGAAGTACCACCAGTGTACACGATTTACACACAGGTAGGGGAATGATGGTGGGATACTAATGTCATACTTTGTAATTTCAAGTCCAGCAGGTCAAGGTACCCACTCCACCATATGCATAAATGCCTTTTAATGCCCTCTTTTCTCTGAGATTATTATGCCTTCATCCATGAAGTCCCCCAAAAATCAGCAAGGAGACAGAGTTCTGTATGTTAAAGTAAAGAGCCTTTATTTTATGCAAGTTCGCAAACGCGGTCTCTCCACATGGCTAACGTATTGGAATAAATGGAGAGCCCTGAGCTCAGAGTTGGGTTTTTATAGTAGTAAAGGTGGGGGTGAAGGGTTTCTGAGGTTCAGGACTCCTGATTGGTGGCTGACATTTGTTTAGGGGTGTCCTGGTGAGTGTGCTGGCAGTGATCCTATCTTGGAACATTAGGCATTTCCTTTGGATGGTCTGTTCTTGGGTGATGCTTGGGTAATCTCAGTTTGTGGTTCTTCGGCAACCAGGTATTGCTTCAGGGTAAACTACTGAGACTCAGGCCTCTGTTAAACTTATCGATGGCTGAGTCCTACACTGGCAGGTGATAGTGGTTGGAAGTAAGGAACTTCCTTTGGGTGGTCTGGTTCTATTTAGCTTATCGTGGCTGGCTCCTACAAGACTAGCCCACTTAGGCTGCCAGTGACCCACCAAGGGAAGAAAATGAAGAAAAGGTGGACTTAGGAAGAACCAAGTACATGAAGAAGAGGAATTTGGTTGCTGTTATCTTTCACTTGATTTGTCAGTGTTAATTATCAATATGTCACTGTATTTTGCCTGTAGGGTATAGAAATATGTGAATTAAATTGACTGTGCACGAACTTACTTGGTGTATGTAAAATTGCAATACATTTTTTATCTACTGTTTAATATTAGTTATAATTATGAAATTTAAATGTATGTATCCTAAAATAATATCTAAGCAATCGATACTACCACCCCAATTTATGTCTTTATTCATTATACAATACATAGAAATACAGTGTAAATTTAGGTACCTTCTGTAAATGCTTTGACTTGGCAAAGACGTTATTTTACTTAAAGAAGAAGAAAAATCAGATCTGTCAAAGTGTGAAAGATTGAAAAGATGTGACAAAACATTCTATAGAATGTTCAAAGGAGTATAGTTCATAGAAACTATTCTGATTTTTGCAGATTGTAAGAAGATTTTGTCGTCAACAAGTAGCGGGTGACTCAGTACTAAAGGGTCAGATGCGGCTCCATGCGTTTGGAGTGAACTACTGTAACCACTGGAAACCTGACCCCCACCTAGAGTCCAGCTGCAAAAAACAAATGCAAAAGGCTTACAAGATAGAAAGATATTATGAAGTTCATAAACCTCTCACAGACCTTTGGGTTTTGGCTTTCTTTTCATAATTCCGATTTCTGAATTCTCTAGCCAGTTCTAGAAGTGAAAAAAATAATAGATGGGATTAGCGAAAAAATTTAGATGAGATTAGTGAAAAAATTAAATTAGTGAAAAAAATTAGATGGGATGTTTAAGTGGGTTTAATTTTCTGTGTTTTTCTCCTATGTGTTCTACCTTGGCTACTCATTCATTTGAAGCAGTGGTTTTCAACCTTCTTAATGCTTCAACCCTTTGACCCTTTGACACAGTTTCTCATGTGGTGACCCCCAACCATAAACTATTTTCATTGCTATCTCATAAATGTAACTTTGGTACTGTTCGGAATTTTAACATAAATATCTGTGTTTCCCAATGGTCTTAGGAGATCTCTGTGAAGGGGTCGCGACCCACGGGTTGAGAACCGCTGATTTAGAGGCTGTAAGGGCTTCATTACTGTAAGACTGTATAGTTTCCACTTGGGAGGCAGAAGTGGGCAGATCTCTGTGAGTTTGAGGCCAGCCTGGTCTACAGACTGAGTTCCAGGACAGTCTCCAAAGCTACACAGAGAAACCCCGTCTCAAAAAGCCAAAACAAACAAACAAAACCTGTGTAGTTTGAAAGTAATTATTAAAACTGAGATTTTGCATATTAAATATTTGATAATATAATTAGGGTTTTTTGCTGTTTTTAAAAAGATTTAGTTATTCATGTCTTTTATGTACATGAGTGTCCTGTCTTCATGAACACCAGAATCTGCCCCATTACAGATGGTTGTGAGCCATCATGTGGTTGTTGGGAATTGAACTCAGGACCACTGGAAGGGCAGTCAAGTTCTCCTAACCACTGGGCCATCTCTCCAGTCTCCAGACAGTGTTTTTTAAACTTAAATATTCATTGCCTTCAACTGAGGGATTTCTTGTGGAAGTAAGGAGAGAAAACAAGGAATGTAATAATAAGCAATAGCAAAAATACAAAATAATAAACACACTATGTTAATAAATTTTTCATTGCTAACAAATACCTTCTAGAAGCAATTTCCCAGGAGGAAAGCTTGACTTTCCTTGGTGGGTGGCACGCCAAGGCTAGCATGCTCTGTGTTTCTGGGGTGCAGCGAGGTGGAGGGTTATGTCAGAAGTGTGTGTCAGAGACAACTCCTCACCTGTGGTAGCCAGAAAGCTGGGGTGGGGGGCGGCTGTATTAGATTGTTCTCCCTTTCACTCCCTTTTTTCCAGCTGGAAACCCAGCTTACCACATTGAGGACGGCTTTTCCTTGCTACAAAACACCCTCACAGCCATACCCAGAGTCAGCCTCTCCTAATTTCCCAGGCCTGTCTCATTCCAAACAAGTTGACAATATTAACCATCACATATGCTGAATAAGTTATGTTATATGAAACGGTATATCAGAAATATTTCATATCTAACTATAGCTATAATGATAACAGACCTAATAATTAAACAAACAAACAAACAAATATTCTTTTGAGATTTACCCTTGAGTCACACCGGAGGCCAGAACACTAAAGTTTGACTGTGACCCACAGCTTAGGACGAATTCGTTTCTAGCTCTTATACCAGCAGCACATTCCTAGGAACAAATGCTCTAAGGAAAGAGGTGTTTGCAGTGTAATTACCTCCACGTGGTCGTAGATTTGTTCAGCACTTTGATAACAGGCCCTGGCCCCACAGGGCAGAAGATTAAAGGGATTTCTTGCTGGGAGGCTCTGGCTTACTTTTATATGATTAGAAACCCCGTGATCAATCCTTGACTGCGGACGAAGGTTTAATAGGAATAAATCACCATGGCAAAGAAACAAAATTTATCTACTTCCGTTTACCTTCTAAGAAAGCAGCAGGCATCATATGCTCTTCATTATTGACATGGAAGCCCTCTATTTATAAGTCAAGTTTTATCACCTAATGAATAATTTCTCTTTGAAAGTAAGTGTCCATATGGTTGAACGTGTCGTTTACTAAATAAACTGGCCTATACATTTAGCTTTTTTCCATGTGCAGATCTATACCAGAAGTTCCTTTTCTTTTACAGCCAGACAAGAATATTTAACACGACAAGTAAAATAATAAACTAGAAAACGAAGAAGCGAGGTTACCAGGTGTATAAACACTCTTGACTGAGGACAAATGAACACTGTCTGCTCATTGACATCATGAGAGTAGGGGCTAACACATCCTTCAAGCCAGTGTTCTTCATTTTGCTCAGTTATGATTTCAAAAAAAAATCCTTGTAGGTTCATAATCTGTCTATTCTTAATTCCCTTATGCTCTTTAGTGTTGACATCACCTAACAAAGATGACACTTTGGTTTATTGACAGTTAT